TATATCTCTATTATTATTATCTCTTTTTGTTAATAAATCAGTTCTGTCTGATGTCACACTAATTATAATCTTGAATATACTCGTACATAATTATATACTCTTTCAGTCATCTACCCTGTATATTACTTGTCACATAATGCATGTTCACTTTACTATGGTGATGAAGGTCATATTGTGTAGTTACAATAAGCAATGCTTCGTCATCTATTTACAATAGTAGGCGCGTAGACTGCAGACGAAAAGAACATGCGACAATTTCCTCTGAATACCGAGTGGAAACTAAAATGTTGAAAGACTAATCGACGAATAGCTTTGTTAGAGTTACGAGTCGATGTATTAAAATTTTATTCATTATTCCCGCCTACCGCGCGATTTCAGTCTACGAAGTATTTTATTTTACTGTCTGTCTCGGACTTGACATATGAACGCGTCGATTCTACTATGATGAATATAATAATCCTGAAACGAATTTATTTTCTAATAAGCCGATGATATTATTATCTAATTTGATGCTTTGGTTTGTAAATGAAATAAGTGGTGTTAAATATATAAATAATTGCATTCAACGTTCATAGTTTATACCTACTTATTGTACTATTTAATTGTAGATACCAATTATATGAATTTATCCTATTTAGGTGTATGAAAATTAAATTAATATTTATAATAATAAAGCTAAATATGGATAAGTTATTTTTTACCTAACTCGTGTTTTGTTTTTCTTGTAAGGCAAGGTAAATAACTAATTAAAGGTAATTATATAATAACACTTTGCTTGATATCTTTTGTGGGTTTAGGAATTTCGCACCTACAAAACTCTGATTCTTTTTCCTTCTACAACTAAAATACTGATCTATTCAAAGTTTATCGTTTGCTATAGGTCTTGATTCTAGAGAATAAAATGAATAGTCTTCACGCATTCTTGACATTATAATAAAAACAACTCTGTGTTTTAGTCTTAATGATTTTTGCTCCTTGTTATATAAATATACCATCAGGTGGGATGGCGGTCAAGTGCTGCCAGCTTTGAATTAAATAAAAAAATATATAGTTCGATAGAGTTTATAACTATGGCCGTTATTATAGGATTGCTCTGAATATATTACATTGAAAAATTTGAAAATCTAATTTAAAACATTATTTATCTTGGACTGTCTCTATAAAGTTACGTTTTATTCTTACCTAGAACAGAAGGAGGATAGCAATAAAACAAAGACGCAAGACATTATTTTACCAATCTAGACGGGCCTAAGGCCACTAGGAATTCGCGCGGTCAAAAATTAAAAATAGAACGTTCCGCGTTCGCGGTCTTTCTGAAACGAGTGATGGAGGAGTGGGGGGAGGCAGACGGCCCGATGACATCACACCGCGTTGCAGTGCGGTGCGACAGCCAACTCTTGCGCAATCACGCGCCCTTGATCTTGACTGCGTCGCGGACGCACGCGTGTGCGCACACAACATTTAAATAGTATACTCGCAACTATATTTATCTTCTCGCATGGAGGCTCGAAATGGTAAACGTTGAATATAAAATATAACTAGGTATGCGGCGCGGTAGTTTCGCAGTGCCTCGTTTTATAGAATATATTTCACATCAGTTTACTATAACGTGTCGTGAAAGAACCGTGATAGCTCAGTGTCCGGGCGCTTCTCTTTAATTCAATATACTCGAATAATCTGAGTTTGATCCCCGGTACCGGCACCAATGAAGTTTTTAACTTTAAGTGCTGAGTGCTCCGCGGTGAAGAAAAACATCGTTAGGAAACCTGCATATTTTCGAAAAAATAATAAAAAAAAAAAAATTTCGAAGCATTGTGAACTCCGCTGCGTGGTGGACTATGCCCTGATACCCTCTTTATAGAAGTGGCCTTTGCCCAGCAGTGGGACATGTATTGGTTGTTACTTTACTTTTTAACTTTTTTTTTACTATTACGTATAGGACTACGGATTTAAAGACGCGCGTAAAGTTATGGATGCGTTTGTGAATATTTAAAAAAATTAAGCAAAGTTAATTATTTAAGGCGTTTTCAAAGGACGTGTATTTAGATATATTCGTGATTTTTTTATTTTGAGAAAAATACCGTAATCGGTCTGAAATGCATTGTTTATAATGTAAGAAGCTCATATCCACATAAGTCGCAGAAGCATACAACACCCTGCATATTTTATTCACTTGCTTATCTAAAAAACGGCAAAGTCTGAAGGTCGTTGCCACAGCAATATTTTACATATATGCATATCCATAAAGATAAGACCTATTGGCTAGCCGCTAGCCAAATCTAGACGTAATAATTACAACCTGTCGTGTCGAATTTTTATGCGAATACAGCCGACAAATGAAGCTAATCAATTTTATAAGTGGTTAGGTAAGCATTTGAACAGGAAGCATTCTGTGAATACTGATAAGATGTAGCTGAACATTGTTGAATTTGCCTATGAAGTTTTATACAAGCTATTCAAAATATATACGAGTAGAGGCACTTGGACTAGCAACGAAAGTGATTAAATTATTTTTAATGTTACCTAAAATTTATGAAGAGGATCAGGTCGAAGGTATATTTTTAATTTTATTATCAGAAGCCATTAGCGAAGATCATGGAGTGTGAGGATATGGAAATAATTTGAACACAACATCTCATAAATTCAAAGTGAAGCAAATTAGAACTGAGTAGAAGTAGTGAGCCCACAACAACTGCAACAAATATTTTCACGTGGATTGCAGTCTCAAATCTAAGGTAGGATAGGGTAAATACTCAAAATATCAACATATTTATCATATCATTTACATCGGAGGCCTTGAATAAACCAGTCATACTGTAATGTAAGCCATTATTATTATAAAGAATTTGGAAATCGGTAGATTTTGGCGTTCATCAAGTTAATTGCTTGAAAAACTAAAAAAATGATTCTCTATAACACTCTCGAATCATTTTTAAATAAAGTAAATTAGAATTAGAAAGTTTTCATCTTTAAATTTACAACTATGAAAATTTTATCTGTCCCTTATTATTTAAACAATATAAAAAATTAAACCAACTAATATACGAATTTCAATGCGTTTTCTTTTGATTTTGAATTCCCGAGGTTTCGAAACTTTTACAGTGTTCATAGATACGGGACGGACTGATCTGTCTTACGCAAAACCCAAATTATGTTTTATTGTTATTTCTAATATTTTTAATGTATAATTATAATAATATGTAATTTTAGATAGATTTAATCTTGTAAATGTTAGATCAATAAACTGTATGATGTTTATATATTTTTTTAAATTAAATTATAAAAATGTTGCAAATTCACCATAAAATTTTCAGACTTCAAAAAGGTTACACTCAACAATAAGTATAACGTTATTTAAATGCTGACAACCTTAAGACGGAGTCACTGTTAAGATAATTAAGTTAACGATAATTTACGATAGGAGATCTAAGACTATCATGAATATAATATATCTAATATCGTTCTAAAAAAGTTCTCGTCTTTAAAAGTTTCGCTTCTTTAACGTTGTTCTATTGCTTTTAGGACTTTATTTTAATGTATCTTTTGAATAATTTGTATTTTAAAATTAACGATCTACACAACTTACGTGGGGTTAAATAGTAGGCAGGTGTTAAAGGTTATTGACTAGGAATTGCTTTTGCGTTTTTTACAAGCCTAGGAGTAAATGTGTTTCTTGAGCGCTTGAACATACCTATGAATATTTTTACACCCGGCGTAATGTAATTATGTTCTTTTTCATAATTTTGTATTCAATTGTGATAGACTTCCTGTGTGTCCAAATTTTAATTGAAAGCATCCATTAAGTTAATTTAAATTATATTTTACCATAATGGGATTTTAGAAAAGCTGAATAATAAACTAAGTACGTTAACAGGAACGGTTAATAGCCTAAAACGTAAATACAATTTGGATTCCAAAGTTTCGTAAAAGGTGTAAGGGACACGCATTTTTGTTCTGTGTAAGGAGACCGTTATTAATACTAAAACATTAGTAACATTACCACTAGAAGTCTGTGTAATATATTAGATCGTATAAAATAAATAAAATTTGGAGAATTTTTTCTTTCTCTAATTTGGATTAAGATGATTTTTGTTTACTATGATTTTGCGGTGCGGTGTTTGTTATAATGTAATATTGTCATTTCAATAATCTCAAGCGTAATATAGTCCAGAGCCATGATGTCTGAGTGTCTAGGCGTTCGCTTTGATGCTATATACTCTAGCAACCTGTTAATATCACGGTGCTGGCATCAATGAAATTGTTAATTCTAAGTGCTGACTTATCAAGTGCTCATCGGCGACGGAAAACATCGTGAGGAAGTCTACATGTTTTAAAAATAATTAAAAAAAATATTTGAATAGGCGTGAAGCCAATCCACAGTTGATAACCTCTTATATATATATAACTAACCGCTAGTACCCTCTGTACAAAGGATGCCTTTGCCTAACAGTGTTACTATACTTTTACTATACAATTTTCTCTTAGTGATCCCTTCGTTTGTAATCAAATGTTCGTGCAAATCCCTGTTTAATCGTGACGCGTGTGACAGTGGGGAAGGCAAATGCTATGGAAAGTGATAGCGTGTTGCTAACACCTTTGGCGAAAATCAAATCACAGACTCGAGGCTAGCTAGCTTTGAATTGACCACCAGTCCTTACTGTGTCCCTTACGCTCGTTAATGACATAAGCATCCTCATTACCATACCTGAACAGAGACAGAGAACAGAACCAGCAAGAAACTCTGCGGTCTTGTTCTTTTTGGTATTTTTTTTGTGATGCAATTATACAAACTTATTTAGGTATAAAATCAGAATCAGCCAGGGGTCTTGCAAGTGCAGAGCAGGAGTCATTTTGGACATTATAGCACGCCCTTGCCATTAAGGTAGCTTTTACAAATTGTTTGTATAAGATACCTTAATGTGTAAAACATCTAAAAGCTATAAAATATATAAAACATCATTTATGTATTATCTTTGCCAGCGGCGGGAGCTAGCTCAGACATGGGAAGTGAGCATTATTGCCTGAGGTGGAACAATCATCAGAGCAACCTGCTGGGCGTATTCAGCCAGTTGCTGCACGACGAGAGCTTGGTGGACGTTACGCTCGCCTGTTCCGAAGGGGCCTCCATAAGGGCTCATAAGGTTCGCAATATTTTTCTTATTTATATACCAACATCGAATTACAAAACCGGAGAGCAATAAAGCTTACATAACAGCTCCTGCAAGAAGAGGCCTGCTCGAACGGGGAAGTACTGCAACGTTACAGAAGAGATTAAAGTATTTTTAATTCTTGTACGTGTAATACATTGAATACATTGTTGTTACTAAAGTATATATTGGACTTCATACATTTGGGATTCCTCTGGTTTTTATAACACTTAATATACTTATTGTTATTTTTATAATTATTTTTTTAACTCTACACTCTGGGGTTCGATATAATTGAAATTAGAGAGAAATATAAAGTTATCTCTGTATATTATAATATATTATTTCCCAGAGGAATTTTTTGTCGGTACGCCATAATATGATTATAGGTATATCAAATTTTATGATTCAAACATCATTTAAAGCTTAAGTTTGACGCTATTGACGAAAACTCATCAAGTAGAATGAACATTAAATTTGTAGAAAAAGTACGAAAAGATTGTCGCCGCTGTGGGAATCGAACCCACGTCTTCGGTATTTGCGGCCTGACGCTCTAGCCACTAGGCTAAACGGCTGATTGCCACACCGACGAAAATCTTAACGCCTTCTTTCTACATTGTTATTTAGCATTTGAAGCAATGCTTGGCGCATCTATTGTTACATCCTTTCTAGCATACAAACAATTTCGAATATCGTTTTACAACGATAATTCGAACGAGAGATGTCGTCATTGCTTCTCAAAAAATTAAAATTTTTATAGTGCTAATCTCGGCACTTAAGATTGAACACTAAATTTGTAGAAAAAGTACGAAAAGATTGTCGCCGCTGTGGGATTCGAACCCACGTCTTCGGCATTCTAACCCACTAGATCGTCACGCCGCAAATTAAGTTACACAAAGACAAACGTTAAGATTTGTAGTGATAACAATTTCATAAATAAAAAAAGAACACGAATGAATTTGAACTGTGTACCTATCTACTAATTTGTCTGTATGAAGAATACAGAAAGCGAGTAATTTTGGATTAGAGAATAATCGGACTTCATATTTCATCCTCTTTTTACAAAGTGTGGGTAAAATATTAATAAAACAAAGCTGATGCATCTTAAATACCAAATCCTTCTCGCAATATCAATATCAGTATCATCCTGCCTTGGAATGACGCCAAATATCTATTTCTCTGAGCATTTTTATTCAAAAACAAAGATCAACCCAATACAAGCCTAAAAGGATGATTAATATTCGGTAAATTTGTATTATACTCTAAAACTATCAGCCATAATACTTATTTAATATGTACTTAGGCTAGTGCGAAGGCTTGCAGGGGTGAAGATTATGAGAAAATGTATATATTTAAAACTCTTTATTTCGAATATATCTATTAAGGTTATAATCATAACTTAATGTATTTTAAAATTACTTTAAAAATTTGATATGCCGTTTTGCAGTTCATATAGGTAAATTGCTATGTTTTTCGTGGACATGGACAATTCAAATCGATTCCTCAATTATGGTATGCACCACGGATCTAATGAATCATTCGATTGACCACAAATTTGGAAAAGTATGCTTTAAATGTTAAACTTTTTGGTTTTTATCCGACTTCAAAATTAACGAGGTTATCTATTCGGATGTTTACATTTTTTATGTATATTCGGGCATATCTCCGTCATATATAGATGGATTTGCAAAAGATGTTATACCGAAATGGTCCCATTTAAATATCATATAGATCTGATAATGAGTTTCGGAGATACAACTTTTCGCGTTCTAACACCCTAATTTCAATAGAGAAGAGGGTTACGTGCTACCATAAGTTTGGGATTCTATCATCAATAAAATTAAATGTAGGGCCAAACGAACCACCTACTGCAAGACAAGATACAATTAGCTCCTTCTGCATGGATCGGACACAAAATTAATAAGTAAAAAACTGACGGTAACCCGGGTTAACTATGACAATCAGAGTGTCTAACGCCTCAGTCTGTCCCGTGACCATGAACGCTCTAAAGGGTTCGAAACGTCGGGAATTAAAATTAAAAATTAAATAAAAATTAAAAGTAATCGCGTAAATACAAGAAATTATCAACATGCTCGAGTACGATCCCCGGTGCCGGCGCCAATATTGTTTTTATTTTGAAACCTGCACATTTTCGAGATAAAAACAAAAAATAATATATATCGAAGATATGTGAAGTCCGCCAATCCGCAGCGGGGCCGCGTGGTGGATTATGCCCTGATACTCTCTGTATATGTGGGCCTTTCCCCTGAAGTGGGACAAGTATAGGCTGTTATTTTACTTTTTTTACTTATAAAGAGTTGCTTGTCTCTAAAGGCTAAAGTTTATGAAAAAACCGGGACGTTTTTATTTTCAATATGCACCTTTTTGAATATATTTAACTCATTTAGTTTGGTTTTCGCTTACACTACTGTCGTTAGACCCACGCAACGGTTTCCGATGTTGCACGACTGGCTCGTCAGTGCCGGTCCGTGTTATCATCTCACTCGGCCCCAGAAAAGTTATAAGCACTGCTTTCAAAGATTGGCGACGTATCTGCAACCCTTCAGGTGTGTCAAAAGTTGAAGGGCTGTGGTAAAGGTAAGAACGGCCTGCTAGTTCTCAACTTTTATAAGCCGTATAGTGATTGTGTTCTGAAATAAATATATTGTATTTACTTATTGTGCTTCCCTAAACAAATATACAAGTAAAGGTTAGAACTAAAAATACCTTAAAAAGGTCTCTAGTTATCATATCGGAGCTCCGTACTCACTCTCTTAAAGTCTTATTATCTCTCTTATATTTTTCAATACAATAATATAGTATACATATCTTTAATGGTACGTTAATGACACGTTTCTATGTAGATTTTTTTACTAATTTCGGTAAAACCATCCACCGCATTATCATATGTAATTTACCATTGTTATTTAATCATTCTAAGTAGCCCATGTAACATTTTGTTTTTGAGTTGTCGCTAATTGGATTTTAATTTAATAATGAAAACAAATTATCTGTCTGGACGTTACTAGTATATCTAGAGTGCATCTTCAAAAGATACCCTGTCTCCAGGGGGCAATGTACAATTCTCACCCACTAAAGCCCCTTCGGGGCCACCCTCAGAACGTAGGGGGGTATTATAATACCCCAACCCATACGCTCGTGAAACCGGCGTCCCCTTTAATTCCTAATACCTTAGCCTTATTTTCTTTGAGCCCGATACTAAAGGCTGATCAATATTAGTATATGATATATGTTAGATACTATATTAGTAGTAATGATAAGAATGTGTAACTCAATATCCTAAGTACATTTTATAATACATGCTATTTATTAAAATTTTGGCTAAAAACAATATCCAGCAACATCGATGATCTTTGGATATGACCTTTTAAATTCTTAACGTAGGAAAAAAGTAGAAAAAAGTTTCCGAAACAAGAGAGAATCAGGTGATAGACAGTTGCAAAGGCATCTCTTTAAAATTATCTTCATCATCATCATCATTTCAGCCTGTTTGAGTCCACTGCTGAACATAGGCCTCCCCCATAGACTGCCATGAAGTTCGATCCTGAGCCACCTGCATCCATCGACTTCCCGCACATTTGCACAGGTCGTCACTCCATCTAGTGGGGGGTCGTCCTACACTGCGATGGCTAGTACGAGGCTGCCACTCGAGAACCTTTCTTCCCGTTGGGAAAATTATCTTGAATTTCATAAATTTCGTTATATCATTATTACTGCTCTACTTTAATTAAAATCGTTTAGTTATAATCAAATATTATATTATAATTCATATATTATATTATAATATTTGAATCGACGATAATTTGTTACAAACCGCAACTCGAATGATATGGGCAGCTTTCATTGCTTCTAAAGGCACCTAATCCGAAAATTGAGTCTGAATAAATTTTGTCTGTGATATCTACATGTGTGCCTTTATGATTTTTTTTTATTATATTACGAATTAAAATTAGTTTTAACAATATTTCAGGTAGTACTGTCTGCGTGCTCATCGTACTTCCGATCGCTGTTTATAGACCATCCGTCGCGCCATCCTATCGTGATTTTGAAGGACGTCGGTTTGGAGGAGCTACGAACGCTCGTCGACTTCATGTACAAGGGCGAGGTCAACGTCCAGTATTGTCAGCTGCCAGCGCTCCTAAAAACTGCCGAGAGCCTTCAGGTCAGTGTAACGTATTATCATTCATCTAACAAAGTTATAGAATTTTTATAGATTATTTTATGTATATGCGAAAAAATAAGGGAGACAAAAAAGTAGGGATTTTTGTCAGCATGTCAATCAGCCGGTTAGCGTAATGGTAAAAGTGTAGGGCACGATTTTGAGGCCGCGGAAGACGCGGGCTCGAATCATACGGCGAAAAAATGTTCTTCCATTTTTCTATAAATTTTAATGTTTCATATTAAGTACACAGATTAGGACTTTCAAAACTTAATATAACATTTAAATTAATGTCGATAGGAGAGAAAGTAAGAGAAGGCTCAATCCAGTGTTAAGAAAGTGAAATAATATTAATAATATTTTTTTACCAGACGTTGTTTCTGCTTTTAGGTAAAAGGATTAGCTGAAATGACCACTTTAAGCGCGGCCGGTATTGACGCACGAAACGTTCCGGAGCCGATGGAGGAGAGTCAGCCGCAAGACATGCGAGACTGCACAGAAACGCATGAGGTATCAGACGAAAGGGAAAATCGAGAAAAGGAAGAGGGGCGAGATTCTAGAGAAGTGCGAGAAAGAGAATGCAAAGAAAGTCGTGACATCAGAGATAGTCACAGGGAAACGAGAGACGTACGGGATTTGCAAAGAGAAAGAGAACTGAGAGACCGCGACTTACGCGAACCACGCGATTTGCGAGAAATCAGAGAGTTGAGGGAATCTCGCGACTTGCGCGAATCAGTCAGAGATCCTAGAGAGTCACGCGAGTGTAAAGACAGCCGAGAACCTCGTGACATAAGAGAAATACGTGAACATAGAGAACTGCGAGAAACACGTGATCCAAGAGAGGCGCCAGATGTTTCACCTCCCAGAATATCCCCTCTGCTATCAGTACGCAGGTTTAGATCAGAGACTTCAATCGAGACACCGACTCCCATACATCCTCATATACCGAAAGATGAGCCACCGGACGAACCTATACGTCCACCTTCTACTGAAGATGATTCAATATCAATAAGATCAAACGGTGCTAATATCGGTACGTACCTTACCTTATTGTAATAAAATAAAAAATACCCATATGCAAAATGAATCAAAAGGTTTTATTTTGCATATGAAATATATCAAAAGGATTTATTAAAAAAATACAAATATTTATAAGATAAAAGATTTGACAACGAAATGTATTATCATATTCATTTTTTAAATTCAACTGTCCGAGTTTGTCCTATCCTATTTTTTCTTTCAGTTCATGTAAATAGTACTTTACTAATGAGTAATTAAAGATAATATTTCACTTTTATTCATGACGAAATTCTTTAGACTTAGCTATCAGCCTTAGGAATAACTGAGAGATATAATAAATACATAATAACAATAATAATTTACAGTTTTTTAAAGTGCTAATCTCTGCATTAAGATTAAACATTAAAACTTATAGAAAAAGTACGAAGAGATTGTCGCCGCTGTGGGAATCGAACCCACGTCTTCGGCATTCGTGGCCTGATGCCTTAGCCACTAGGCTAAACGGCTGATTGCCACACCGACGACAATCTTTTCGTACTTTTTCTACATGTTTTAATATTTAACAATAATAATTTTGATAATTCCGTGGCGCAGTTTGCAAAGTATTGGCTTTGGCATTGTGGGGGTCTTGGGTTCGATTCCCACATGGGGCAACTATTTGTAAAACTCATTGATAGTTCTTTGGGATCAAGCTGCTTTTCCACATGAAATTTATCTTTGTAAAACGATCTTACACCAGAAGATAATGTTATCCTAAGGCAAGGGCAATGTTTTTTTATTAAAAAAAGAAAAATCTTTAGTTTTTACTAATTGCTGTTGTAACAATATAAGATTATTTTGCTTAAGCTTGAGTACAGTGAGAGTTACAAAAAATACACTGTAACTCCCAAACTAGACGATGCCTGTATCTTGGAAGCCGGTTATATCGGACACATATTGTCCAAAACCCAGCCAATCAACACTTACAAGAGGGTTCTTATTCTCCTACAGAACAAATTAATAATATATTATTTTGATCCCCCTGAATATAATACCCGGTAAAATTCTCGAAAAGTTATTGCGATTATTCTTATTTCAATTCACCATTCTCTGTTAACTAAACTTGATTTCAGTCTATTAAATTGTAGTAAGAATCTGAGTAAAATACTATAAAGTATACCTTAACCTAATTTAATAGATTAATACCCAAAATCTGGAATGATAACTTACAACACTAGAACAAATGTTATAAAAAAATATTATCCACCCGTTTACGTGATACCTAAGTAAAAAGCATTGTGGAAATGTAAATCCCTGTGAAATAACCTTCATTTTTATCTTTAATATGTAGCTAGTAATCATATGCTCAGAAACGTCATCTAAATTTATTATACAATAAGAATATTTTCTGTACTGAGATACTCTTTATCTGACATGTATTAGTGAATAGGCTGTATGGAGAAAACCCAAGCCATTAATTCTTCAAGTTGTATATTTATTTTTATTAATTATTTTTCAAATGAACAATTTTCAAGGTCAACTATTTAAATTTATTTAATTTTCAAATAAAACAGTTTTGATTACCCAGATAAATTAATTTTTCCGATAATTATTCTACCTTGTTAGATAATTAAAAAACAAGTGACTTTTTCATTTAGGAAGTTTTATTTTCAAAACAGTGGATTTTAGGAGGTTTTTGAATTTATTTAAGAGTTTTTTCTCAACAGTTGGTAACACTGTACAAAAATCAAAACAAGCTTCAAATCAAAGTGTAAAGCTGGAAAATGACTGCCGAGTGCAAAATAGTGACATGACAATTGACATTGACAGTGTCACCAGTCACTTTCACCGTGACATTGACAGATATAAATTTTTCGTTTCTGGTTTATCATTAATCTAGATAAATAAATATGAATATATTATATAACATATAATTATGAAAACCAATCATCATTCTATTCTAAGAAAACCAATAATAACCGTTCGGAATTCTCCAAGGGCTTGTTCTTACTTTGATTAGAGAACTAATCTTAAAGAAGTTTTAATAATATATTCAAATCTCTAATGATGCTTAATATTCCAATCAAACTAATTTTAAGGAATGACAGGAAAAAGGCGCTGCAAATACGTTGCTTTTTTAAGTTATGCCGTTTTCTTCAGAAATAGAACTGCATATAAATACTCATTTTATGCTGTAGGTTTATACAAGTACCTGAAATTTGCCATAATAAAAGTAATTCGCCAAAGAAAAAATTGACTTTTGCTGTGTTGCATGTCTTTATCCTACTTGTGAGAAATATTTAAGCTTCTACTTTCTTAATTTAAACTAAATCAATAATTTGTATTATCATGTTCATAAATAAATAAAAGGCATTCAACCTAAATTAGTCTTTAAGCAATTATGTGGCCATTTTATTTAAAAATAACAATTTGAATAGTATTATTGTATTTCCTCATAAGAGTCTTATCAATTTCAGGTCTCAACATGACGATAAACAGCCATAGTAGTGGTAGTGTCTTAGGGCCGAGATACTCACCTGTGGAGCAAAGGTTAAGTGTGCTTAACACTTTACCTCATCCAGGTCTGCCTCACCCATCACACCCATCGCTGCCAAGCCCTAGAAATGAACCAATTGCTGGGCCTTCTGGATTACCACCAGTTCAACAAGTACCATTAGTAAGATATTTTAATATAATATAAACTTATTATCATGGCTGCCCCTTTGAAAAAACCCAACAGTGTGCGAAGGTGTAGGATATGTATGTATATTTAATGTATGAAAAGAATATGTAAGGTATCTCATTTAGCAGAATTCTGTTTCTTTTTCTTTGAGATGATTTGTTAATTTTTGTATTTTAACTGACAAACTTTTTTGTTTTATTTATGATATTTAAAAAGTCATATATATATATATATATATATATATATATATATATATATATATATATATATATATATATAGATATATATATATATATATAGATATATATATATATATATATATATATAGATATATATATATATATATATATATATATATTGTAAAGACACATTTATATTATCAGACACTGTATAAAAAGTATCGATTCTAGTGTTCAATTTGTTACTCCAACCCTATCATATTAGATAGTTTATTTTTGAGCAAAGCTGCAAGGCCTAAAAATTCGGAGTTTTGCTGCCTACTACTTGGCTAGTCCGAAACTTAAATATGCATTATTAAAGGAAGGTCTGATTTAATCTTCCGAACCATGCAGTGAATAATCACTTTTTGCATATATGATTTAAATGTTGCTTAAATAAATAAATAAACATTGACACTATGATTTTATAAGTTGAAGAATTTAATAGTATACTTAATTTTCATTATAATTTGAAGTAAAGTGTAATACACGAAAGATTAGAATTAAAAGCTGTCATTACAAACAGGAAATTTTGAAGCTTGGTAAAGAAAATTCTTTAATCAACATTAAAATGAAGTAAATCATAACATTAAATCATTCAAATAGTATTTGCTCTAATGACATTAACTGTATTGTCTACCTTATGTAATGGAACTTGAATAATATACAATATCATTATAATTAATATAGTTCTTTAAACTTATCTCAACATCATTTAAAAATTGACTCATTTAAATCTTATCAAGGTTATTGTTTCGAGCATATCTTATTTATATTTTGAACTATTTTACATTTTTTATTTACAGTCCTTAAAAAAAGAAGTGGACTGGGAGAGGAGCAATGAAGACAAAATGGGGGAGACAGCAGCTGAATACAGGATGCAACATGAAACAGTAAGTACAGTACATATTCAGTTTATTGATGTGGTAGACTTTGTAAATATTGTTATAATATGGTAATCATAATAAGCATTACAGGAGCCATTTTTTACTACCTTTACCTTTTTATATAAAAGATCCTTAATAATATGAACACAAACAAATCCTTTTTAATGATTCAATGTGTCATTATTGCCATAATGAATGTAACTAAATAATAGCAATGGCTTTTATTGTGATTACTTATATTTTTATGTGGATTGTTGCATGTTGTATATTTTTAGTTTAATTCCATAGGCTTTTTATACAATTAAGGTGTAATGTATGATGTGTTGTATGTTTGTTTTTTCTTGTGAAGTGTGTGTGGTCATACTGTTTGAGCAATTTCTTGAAAACAAAATACTTTCCTTTGGAATCCTTTCCTTCCTTCAATCTTCTAAGCTATTAAACACAAAATTATTGAGAAAGTTTTGTAGTAAATATAGGACAATGGATAATCATAAAAATCTGTTCTTAAAATGTTTTTACAAAAAACCTTAATAATGAATGTTTAATTTTCAATTTTTATTATCAATGAAAATTTTGATCTTGATTTGATCATAAGTCATTGTAATAATTTTAATTATGGAATTTGTGGAGCCATTCTGGTTTTGCTAAGTACTGAATGAGCAATTCATTGTATTATTTTACTCAACTGAGTTGTCATGTTGCATTCGAAAATGCAATCTATGCTTGTTAATTATTTAAACTTGGTAATGATAAAAAATAAAAGTAGTCATTGTACACAAGTTATACTTTGATAGTATATTATTTCAAACAAAAAAGAACTGTCATACAAAGATGGTAGGGCAACGCAACAGTGTTCGCTGTTGCACGAATGGGCAGGTCCATACGGGTTAGTACCACGACCTCACAGAAGACCGGAGTGAAGTAAACTTCTGTAGTAGTAGTACACTTCTGCGTTTCATCTGATGAGTGAGCCGGTGCCCACTTCATTAGGAGGTGGCAACGCATCTGCAACCCTGCGGGTGTGTGTGTCGTAAATGTCCTTGGGCAGGCTGTTAACACTTAACATCTGGTGAGACGCCAGCTCGTTTTCCATTTTCTCGCGTAAAAAACAAAAAGGAAACAAAGTATATTATAGCGAGATAACCTTTAGAAAATTTATTGATGAATCAAAATGTATTTTCCTCATTTAAGGTATGCTTAGAACGTACGAAGTGTTTAAAACTGATTTTCTTTGCCGATTCCGTTAACTCTCCTCAAAACCGTTCTGAGTAGGTTGGTGTTTGTGTTACACTTAGTTTGTTTGGTTTGAATATTGCATGCTTGTTGATGTGCTGCGCTATTTAAAGGTTCGAGTAATATGCCTTGCTGTCAAGAAGTTGACCTTCATTTTGTTGGCCATCATTTGTTATCCATTCATTTTGTTTGATATATATATTTGGGCAGTTTTTATTTTATTTGACATTTGGCCATTTATGCATACGTCTGTACGTATCGGTGATTAAATACGCGCGCGCGTTGCTTAACAACAAGGCATTACGCGTAGCCGGTTCCCGGGTCACTCCTGCACAGATTTTGGGCAAAAATGAGCGTCAACTTCTTACTTAGATAGTGAAACTTAAGAAACTAACGAGACTGCATCTCAAATTAGAAAAGTAGTGGTAGAGACATTGCACACTCATTGGTCCGCGTACGGACCTAGCCAGAGAGAAAGAAGTTGATGTTCTTTTTGTGGTTGCAGGAGTACGAAGGGTCCGGTAGGGGGCGAATTGAGGAGGGGGAGAGGGGTTTTCCTTGCATACACTGTGGCGCGGCGTTCCCCCACCAGAATAAACTGGCGAGGCATATATTGACCACCCATACGCTCGAGTCGCTCAAGTATCGCGACGCGATACTGGGCAGACCTATTGGCCTGCCAATGATTGGACAGTTCAGCGAGCCTACGTATATGGCGATGCCCTCGGAGGAGGCGCCCATCGATTTAGACATTGGCCCCGTCGAGCCGGGGAACGTGGTGCTATGCAAGTTTTGCGGCAAGAGTTTCCCGGACGTGTCCTCGCTGATAGCCCACCTGCCGGTGCATACGGGCGACAGGCCCTTCAAGTGTGAATTCTGCGGGAAAGCGTTCAAACTGCGCCACCATATGAAGGACCACTGTAGGGTGCACACGGGTGAGTGATTTTTGTGGACAACAGCCATTCGATTCTACACTTCGTCCCGTTTTCGCGTTTCGATTTGATGTGCACCGTTCGGTTTCAGGTGAACGGCCTTTTCGTTGCGTCCTATGCGGCAAGACTTTCTCCCGGTCGACCATTCTGAAGGCGCACGAGAAGACCCACTATCCGAAGTACGCGAGGAAATTCCTCTCGCCAAGTCCCGTGGACACGGAGGAAGAAAGCCCCCACCAATGAGCATGGGGCGGCGTTAGTTCACAAAGTAGTGGCGCCACGTTCGCCAACGGTATAATTTATTATTGGAAATAGTCAATGGTGAGAGTTGATCGAACAAACGATGGACAATACGTTGTAATTAGTTAAGTATGTGATTAAAACGCCGCAACTGTGATCTGAATGATATGAATAATATTTGATATTTCACTTTTAGATAATTGACAAAAAGTTGTCGATTCTCCATTTTAGTTGGAGGAGCGCGTCACTGGTTTTCTTTTTTTTTTGTTTCTTCTTCGCTTTCGTTTTTCGTACTTTGAATGTTAGGTGCTTGTTTTATGCTTAGGTGATAATTTCTAACTCTATAAACGATGAGTACCTTAGATGGCATAGCCAAAGTTAGGTAGAGAAGTAAATTTACTTTAAAAGAGAATTAACTCGATTCGCTTTTTATGTTTTATTTAGATTGCCTTTCCACTAACATCAGTGCGTTCTTTTAATGTTTTGTAAAAGTTGATTTGCGATGAAAATAAAAAGTATGGAAATGCAATGAAATAAGGCTTTTCAGAAATTGAAAGTAAATTGTAAAATATTGTATTAATTTAGAAATGACATAATCTTTAGAGACTTGCATATTTATATTAGTAGTACCCTCAGAAATGATTTTATAAACCAAATCGAAGATTGATTGTGAGTGCTTTAATTATTATTAGAGACTACGTATATGAAAACTGCACTCAGTATAGTTAGTATCGTTGACGTTTAGGGATTTGAGGTTTTGATGATTTCGCCCTTCGTGGTAAACGGCGCACGCTCCCCCGAGGTAAATCAAAAGCAATACTACGACATATAAAATGTAAATACAATATAGTTTGATAAATAATATCGGATTTTTAGGAAATATATTAGATTATTGCTGCTTCCGTAGCTCTGGATGCGTGGGGAGGTTGGTCTTGTGTCGGGTATGTTGTCATGGGAATCAAAGCTTTAAGCAGTTTATTTCGAACTCTGTATCTTCGCTATGCCTTTTCTTTCCTTTTCACCGCCAAATGTATCTCGCAATCCATCCCTACAATGTAACTGCATAATTGACATTAAACTGATACGTTGACACGCACGTTTGCAAAACATTAAAAATATAGTTAAAGTAATTATGATCACTTACATATATTAAAAATATATGTAAGTGATAACCTAAATATGAAGTATAGTTATATAGATTGAAATTAGGTACGTTAATTAGTATCCATTGACTATTCAAGTCCCGTCTCTCTAGCTCTGGAGAGACTTGCTTTCAAAGGCAAAGTCAAATTTTCTTTATTCAATATAGGTTTTAATTTAAGCTCATATTGAATTTCAATAAACTACTTCGCTTTAATCAAGTTCACCTTGATTTGAAAATAACATCGAGTAAATACATTTCACTGAGTTCACCAGAAAAAAGCATTATCTTAAATTTAAATAATTACCATTTAATAATTATTCGACCAGTATGACATATGTCGTTAGTGGCGTTGATGCAAAAAGACTGGATCTTCTGATTTGTGGGCACTAGAAATAAGAAGACACTCGCATAAAATACTATTTCATAGTAAATATTCCCTCGATGTTTATGTTTAATCCTTACTAATATTATAAATGCGAAAGTAACTCTGTCTGCCTGTCTCGCTTTTACGCCAAAACTACTGAACCGATTTAAATGAATTTTAGATAGTCTAGAGCCTGAGAAAGGCTATTTTTTCATTAAAAAAAACTTTAAAATATATGTATATTTTAAAGAAATACATTTATTTAAGGCATTCAACGCGAGCGAAACCGCGGGCGAAAAGCTAGTAATTAATAATTCGCAACGTATATGTTTATATCACAATGGCAGGATCAAGTACACGCAGTTTTATAGCGGATGTTTATTTAATATCATGCATGCAGTTACTAATTAAAGCTGACACGTTGAACGGGAAATCAAAAGGCATAGTACAACAAGTAATTGAGAATTTCTTGTCTATTTTGATACAGTATAAAACACACGTTCTCTTGTTATATTTGTAGAAAGTTTCAAATGCTCTATCCATATCCAATACATACATTAATTATTTTATAATACGCAAATACACACATATATATTCACAATGTCGTTTATAACTGTTAAAGCATATAAGCATTTGAAACTTCACAAACGCTGTGTTCATTGAATAAAACAGAGTTAAATACAGGGATATTGTATGAATGTTAATTTACCTAGACACAATTTTTATTTGAATGGTACTACTGCCTATGGCGTTAGTCTTAATAAGTCTTTATGCCCACAAGCAGTATTATTTTTTTTACATCTACATCACAACCGATATTTAATTACTGAAGCTTTGATTTGGTATAGATTGGTGAGTAAACAAGATGGCGGCCCATATGGTCATTCTTCGTAATGGTCGTAACAGAGCACAAACATGTTATATATTTTATATTCACGCGAATGGTTCAAATTGTGCGCTTTGCATCTTTAGAGCGAGGAATAATTTCTTTTTAATTCTCTCTGAATTGCTAAGGTACCTCCGGCTCGATAATATGTTTAAAATTTGTAATTCGGCAAGAAATCTATGAAGTATTAATGTTTCATACTAGTCTGTAGGATTACCTACCTGATCCTTTCATAATCTTAATACCGTATGACATATCATTTGAATATTGAATAGTTTAAAAGTTGTTTTCTTTAAAAAAATGTCAGTACTTAAAAAAATTAGAGGAGTACAAAAAATCGCATTGAGATTGGGCGAACATGGGTTGGTATAGGAGTGTGTAATTTTAGAAAAAAATATTTCCTTTATATCAGTCTAAAGTATTATGATAATTTAGAAAAGAACTGTGATAATAAAACAAAAGTAATAAGTACGCAACATCTGGGCGATGAAAACCTCGATCTCAGACTGTGATTTCAAACATTTAGAAATATTATTAGGGCGACCGGTGTCGGAATTAAAAAAAATATTTATGTCTTATTAGTACAGCTAAGTTTGGCCTTTCTACTAAGGCCTTTTACGAAAAGTAAGTAGTCACGTAAACGTAGATTTAAATTATATTCAAAATTGTATTCGTCCTTTTTTTGGCTTTGCTTTCGTCCAGGCAGGAATGAGAGCAATGTTGTTTTCTCCTTTTGTTAACAGGCTTAACGCCATGTTAAAGTGTTAAAACCGAAGCAATTTGAAGAGATCTCATTTATATAAGATTTAGAATAATACACTCCAGCGAGTTGCCGCTTTGTTATTTTTTTTTATAAAAGTAAATTGCTTTAAAATACCCATGGGTGTGTCGTGTTTGGAATTTTAGCCGCTTGACATTCCGTTTATAACATTATTATTTTGGACATCTTCAATTGTCATTGTAAATTCCACCGATATCGCTTATTCTATAAAAAAATAGCCTATTTACTATAATTTCGACGGTTTCGTACATATCCCATGCGGGAGGCACCTTAGCAATTTCATTGAAAATTACATTTTAAAATTAACAAAGGAGATGGTGTAGGATATTTGCTTAGTATAAGCAAGTTTTCCTTTTAGCGGACTCTTCCATTTGCACGTCGTATATTAAATAGATGTAAAAAGTGCAGTATTTATACGTGAAGTGTTTTCTAATTTCGTTCGTTTTATTGTTTACGGAGTTTTCGAGTGCGCACGAGACATCATGCTCTGTCGAATAGTCGTACAATATAATCATTCCACATGTTTCCATGGAAATTAGAATTTACTTCTTTAAAGTCTCACATAATGTTCATTGTTTTCTTCTCGTGGTTAACGCTAACGTGGGTTTTCAAAAACTTTGTATAGTCTGATATTTAATGTTTATACTACAGACGGTTTCTGTTATCGCAGTGATAGTGCGAAGACTTTAAAGATGGGACAGTCACGTCATCACTCGTGGCCCCGTGATGACGTGTAATTATCATATTAGAGAATAGATTGGTAGATGCGCTACTTCCCGGAGTTGGTGTGTGCATTAATGTTATGCGCGAGCAAATCACTGAAGATAAATCAAACAATGTTTCTATTTGAAAAGCTGCACTGTTTTTCTTTTCCGGAGCCGAACGTTACCAAACTCATAGCAATATTGCAACCTTGATTAATGTTCCTCTTCTTGTTTTAAGAAAGATTGAATATTTACAATATACATTATAAATTTAATAGCAATAAATAAATGGTTAATAACGATGCGAATTAAACAAATTTGTACGAGTTTTTATCAAAATAGTTTTTATAATAGAACAGAATGCAGTTTAAAATGCTATTTTGTTTCCTAACTTTCAGAGGTACTATTTATTAATTAAATGATAATATTGTTATAATTATATTTCTATGTATTGACATGTATATAGGCAGCGTGGTGAAGTTGTTAGTGAAATTTACTGTAAAATACACAAGCAATAGTATTTATTATATGACCCCTAAGTGCAGTTATTCAAATTTTAACATTTTCCACTTGTTGCCACGTCCCTGCGAAGTTCACACGCCATTAGCACAGATAATAAAAAGGAATAGATTTATCTATAAAAAAAAATTAAAGTATATGTCAAATTATCGTAGATATATTTTTTTCAGGTATCTAACCGAGCATGATAAAATTTAAGAAAAAAAAAAATAGCACGAAATATTTTATGAGTTGAAATAGTTGAAAACTTAGATTCGTTTTTATATCATAAATTGTGACCACTGTTTTATATTTAGAGTGCCTCTTGCCTGTACAAGACTTATATAAAGGCTGCAAATCACGAAATATACATAGTTTGCGTAGGGAATGATCAAATAGCAAAAAAAAAAGAATTGCAATTTTATGGTGAAAATTGTAAGTTGCGTTATGATGTGACTTGCTTCGTGTTCCGTGTTTCAATTAATTCCGGCGAAATTTCTACAGGAGCCTCACTTATTCGCGAGCGTGACTGGATCGGGCAGCTCCGTTGCTAGCGCATTCCAATCTCGAGATATTGTGGTGCGGTGGACAAATAAGCCAGTGCAAAGTTATTTTCATGACCAATCCTAGGACAATAGTAATTTTTTTGTATAGCCTTAGGTAGTATTGTTAAGTTTCACCCGCGCGATGGCGTCGAAAGCCAACGGCGTAGGCATACAGTGGTTCGTTGTGATTTTCTTACTATTTTAAGTGGCATACCTAAATATAGAACTTATATTGCAATTTTTCTAAGTTCCTGTAGGTGTATTGAGTATTGTATGTTGGTACAATTTGTTTATTAATTGTAATTTGTTTATTATAATTTATTTAGATTTTAATAACTTCTCGACTACCATTCGTATTGGTATAATATACAATTCAGATTTCTTGCGTCGTCTGTTTTGGCAATGTAAGGTTTTGTAGGTTGCGTTGCGATCTTTCGTAAATTAACGACGTGGTCTTTTTTGTGTATTATGCTTTAATAAATTTTATTCAGCACAAGTTCAAATAATGTAGGTCCACTTAGTGATCATCGTTCACTCGTGGAGTGACGGTGGTTCTTTTCCCTTAAGCCGTTTTATTTAACATTCATTGTTGACATTTTAGATTAGAGAAATCTGTTTTACCTTCACATAATTAATAGTTCATAATGTTGTAACAGAGAGCGGTACGGTTTCGTTGGTTATTAGATCCAGTATATCAGAAATATCAAGGTTCAAATTGTAAAGATCGTCAATTGTGCAACAGTTTAAAAATCCATAGCTGTTGGTCATTGTAACTCTTGAAACAAATATAAGCATATCATAGCTGTAAAAATACAATTTTGACAAATAAAAGCTCTACAATCATTACACAATCGTACTTTTATTTATCCAATCAACTTGTGACCTTCAAAACAATATAAGGTACGTAATATTGTCTTATCACTTTATAAGTAATACTTTATAAATATATAAATCACTTTTTTATTACACTGATTTTAAGGCTAACCTGATGGGAGAACGTTTATGGGATTTAGAAGATATCATAATTTTTGTATAGTTATATATATTATTTTCAACTTTACAGATGTGCCTGGACATGACTTGCGGGTCTCCCGGCATACCGAGCCCGCTGCCCCCCCGTAGCCCCACCGCCCTGCCCCTGTGGTCGCCTCTGCTCGCCCTGCAGGCGTGCCGCCTCCGCAGGTACCTAAGCGACGACTGCATGACCTACCAGAGCCGTCACCTGCTCCACACCGAGAGGCGCCGCTGCGGCGTGTGCCTAGCCTCATTCCCATCATCCTGGCTGCTCGAGCGCCACGCCGCCCTCCAGCACGCGTCCCAAACGTCCTGCGACGACAAACCCTTCGTGTGCGAGCAGTGCGGCCAGAGCTACCGCTACAGGTCCGCCTACGTGAAGCACAGGGAGCAGAACCACAGGGCGCGGCTGCCCGCCGACAAGCTGTTCACGTGCGACGTCTGCGGCATGCAGTTCCGCTACCTCAAGTCGTTCAAGAAGCACCGCCTCAACCACACCCTGGAGCGGCTCCACACGAAGAACACGGACCCCGTCGAGGGCACGGACCAGGTATCCAGCACCAACGAGGTGTTCGGCCAGTGCGGGGAAATGGACCTGTCCATAAAGAAGCGGGCCCGGCCCGAGAACAGGACCCCGCCGATCGAGGTGATCGGTGACGCCGAACAGGACAGCACGGTCGACTCCAACGGGCCGACGGAGTCGATCGTCACGGTCGACGATTCCACCGACTGCAGGAACTCGAGCGCCGAGAGCGAGAACAGGAGGGACGCCGACGCGCCAGCGGCCGATAGACGCCGCGTTCCCGTCTCCTTCGCCAGCATCAGCTCGATGGCGGACAGCTCGGAGAGCGAGTCGCGCGCTGACAACAAACTGGAGAGCTCCGGATCCCACTCCGGCATACTTGGGTTCCTGCAGGGCGACGACCGCCAGAGGGACAGGGAGAGGCGGTTCGCCTGCCCCTTCTGCGGTAAGTGCGTGAGGTCCAAGGAGAACCTTAAGCTGCACGTGCGAAAGCACACGGGCGAGCGGCCGTTCGTGTGTTTGTTCTGCGGTAGGGCGTTTGGCGGGAAGAGCGACCTGACGCGTCACCTGCGCATCCACACCGGTGAGAGGCCCTACCACTGCGAAGCCTGCGGCAAATGCTTCGCCAGGGCCGACTACCTGTCGAAGCACCTCACCACCCACGTGCACAACGCCCGTTGAACGCACCCCCGCGCCCTCTGCGCCGTCCTCCTTTCAATCGTTTCATACCTCTATAGTTAATGGCCGAGTCATATTACTGTAACAGCAAATCGGAATATTTTTTGTAAAGAGTTTTTTAAAGTTTACTACATTATTGTGGATATACCTAAGCAGGTCTAATTAGAATTCTACACAAAAGTTTTCCTTTTGTTTTTTTCTCTTTTAATGTGATCGTACACTTTTTATGAACATAATTTTCGGATATTTATTCTATACAAAATATAATGAAATGAGGATTTCGTTACCTCTTACTAAATGATAAGAACGTTATTTGAGTTTTGAACGCATACTTAAATTATGTTTTTTTTATAAAATGTTATTTGGAGAAGTTATAATTATAAGTTTTTTTTTAACTTATTTCATGTATTTTCAAAAGAGATCGAGTTACCTTGAGTTCGCGATGTACTGTGTGCGACATATTTATTTGTATTACATCAGTCTGCTGCTTCAGGATAAAGGAATGCTTTTATACGATGCGAAAATAGTTTATTTGCCATATTTTTTGAGCACACGATGTTATAATAAGATTGATAACTCATTCCATTGAGGGGAACTTAGGAAAATTGTAGTGGTGTCGATAGGTTAGTAGGAGAATGCAAAAAAAGCTGTGATTCATACGATTTAAGACCAGTCAACAAGATTTAGAACATCGAAAAATGTTTTATGTAATGTAATTATAAAATATTATTAATGTTTAGATATAAATGAATGATAGATTTAAGAAATCTCTCTGTGCCAAAATATGTACCTCATAAAAGTAAACATTGAAGTAGATAATCTAATTGTAGAATTGTTTGTTCACATTTTGTTTTAGATTTCGTTGTTATGGACACCGTTGCAAAGTTCAATATTTATATTTTTACGCATATAATGTATTCAACTGTTTTTGATCGGCCCGATCGCTGGTAAAGGTTTAACGCTAGGATATAAGAAGTCCGAAGATATGCACACTTTTCCGTTTTGTCCACGAGATACACTAGCCCGCGGCATACAGCACATTGAACGTTTTTAATACTAAAACTGCCATTATTGTGATATACTTTAAATTAGTAAATTGTGAGAGGCCTAGAATATTCATGTACGATCGATTTTTTTTTCACGATGTATTTTTAATGAACGTTGACTTTTTATCCCAAAAAAGCTAAAGCTAAGTAGGTTCTATTTTTTCTATTATTCTTCACAACTTTTAACAACGCATGATTTTGTCTTCTTACAGGCATTTTCTCAATAAGAGTTTTTAATTTCTTTTAGTTTTTAATTTCTTTTAGTTTTTAATATACAAATACTTGAACTGAATGGACTGAATGGGAAATATTCATTAAATTAATTTGTTGGTCGTACATTACTATGTAATTTTGAAGAGCTCTCATAATTTACTACCCTCAATGTACTTTTAAACAATAGAAATAGCGCCTATTTTATTGTTCGTCTGAAAGACAAATACAATACAATGTCAATTAAACTAATATAATGTTATTAATTATTCTTATATACGTAAGTTAATAATGTATTACGCGGGCTAGTAAAGTCAATTTATAAACTACGTGTCTTATAAATCAAAGACAACAGAAACATTTTTTTTATGGAAGAATGTACACTTTTCAATGCAGCTAGGGAATAACAATTAAATTTAATTTTTGCAATATTTTTACCTCTTTTGAAACAAATTTTAATAGAATAAGATTAAGATACAGTTTTTCTAGTGAGTCATAAACGGAATATGTTGTAATTTTTTGCTCGATTTATTTTAAATGATTTTTTATATATCTTTTTTATTTGTGAAATACCGGCCTAATAATTTCAGGCATCAGAAAGTCACTAATTTTGAAACTGCATTGTTCGCACAACTAGTAAGTTATTCCCAAGTGCTTAAATATTTTTTTTATAATCCTTTAAATTATAAACGTAACGATATGTCGATATAGTGAAAAGCAACGAAATAGCCTAAGCCCTTTTAAAGGGAAAACGCGAGGAGTATAGTCGTATTTATTTAGTTAGTGCTGTTATCGCATGAACCGATGGTTAACTATTATTTGATTTCTCCCGTTTCAATTGGATAAAGCGTAAATTTTGTCGTCTTCATAATCAATCTGAATCGTTTTTAAATTATAATTTTCGTAACAAAAATTGAATTTTGTCGCCAGAGGGATATATTATAAGGAATATATTTAGGTAGTCGAAAACTTTTAGTATAAACGAGAAGCAATACTCTGAATTATTTTTTTATTTTTTATCGTCGAAATACTCTGAATGCAATATAGAAAATGCTAGCACGAGATCGGACTTGTTTGTGTACGTGTAACCGTCAGGTTGGACGATGTTGCATGTAATGCTGTAAAATTCGATCCATGTAAACCTTTTCGATTGTGTTTCTATGCTGACCCTACAAATTTGAACTGTACCATCGATATAAACAACGCGGAAGCGACATTGAAAATTGTGTATATGTAGATATTTTGCCATTACGTCAAATTTATATTATAAATAGTAATTATTCGAAAAATTGATGTTGACTGTTTTTATAATTATATCAGCGGTAGTTACTTGATGTTGTGGTGTAAATTAGTGTCTTATAGAATAAGGTCATAAACCACTCAAAGAGGTTACCAAAAATTTTACATTATTTTACTAAAGCGAGATTATCGTTGCTCCTTAGATAATTCTTTACTTCTTTTCTCCTTCACAAATTAAGATTTTATTAAAGAAACGAGCTCTTTGAGTGGTTCATTATTTTGAATTCTCGTAGCATATAAAATTGGTGTGGTCTTTATATATGTTATAGTAACCTACATAAATTAACTGTAAATTATATTATTTTGAAATCAAACTATAGTTATGGAATACAGCAAATTTCTGGCAAGTGCTAACCAGATGAAATGTGATAAATTAGGGTTTAAGCGATTGGACAACCAATATCAGACATATTTGAATCCTCTCGTATGCGACGCAGCACTCTGTATTTTAACAGCCTTCAGGTGTTTAATACAATTCTCTTAATTATCTTAGTTTACCGCCGATTGTGAGCTTATGGGCATTATTTTATGTTTAGTTTTCTTTTACCTTTATGCGTTTTAATGTACAGTGACAGGACATGATGCAACCGCTATAAACAATTGTGTTTTTCCGCGTGCACAATTGTACGACGTTACATAACGTTCGGAAATATGTCTCCGTCCATTTCATTTTATGTTGTTTATCGTTAAAAATGGTATCCGCTTAGATTTAACTATTTGTTTCATTTTTTGTTTCTGTTACTGACCTAAATGTTTTTGTTGATTACTTAATACGTTTTTCTAAATTATTCCCAATAAATAATTCATTCCATTTCAAAAGTGAAAAAAAATCTAGTTTTAAATAAATGTGTAATGAACATTTTGATATTTGGTATTTATGTCCGAAGAGAATATTTTAGAAATGTATTGAGAAATATTTTTGGTCATACACAAGCTAGTTCATATTTTTTTCAAAATGTAAATTATATAAGTTTTGTAGTAATTTTTACTGACCATAACGTTTCTAAGATTGTTTTTGTGTTGAGTCAGTTGCATTGAAGGTGTTTTATTTATTAATTATACTTTAAAGAATGATTATTTATTAAGTTTATAATTAAATTAGATATGTTTTATTGGTTTTAACAACGTCCTTGTTTTTGGATAATGATTTTCACATAAGCTAAGAGCTTAATATATGTAGTCTTGATGCAAGTTTTTTGTAAAGCAACATAGCGTTAATTATTAATTTATTTTTATATTTTAAACGGTTATGGAGGTACATTTTGGTATTATTTTTATATTACAACCATAAGATTTATTTAAATGCTCCATTATGTTTTCTGAAAAAGAAATCTGAATTGTCCAATATTAGTAATTTCATCGGTTATTTTGTTTTTGTATGAGAAATATCTATCGGCGATAAATTGCCTAATCTGTTTCATTTGAAGAATTTCTTGAGGTTCTATTGTATATAACATACTCCGGAGTCGTATTTGAAACTATTTAGTATATTTAATTTGTGTATATTCTGCTCAATAAGGACACAATGACTATGAAATGTGGGATGTGACATAAGCGCATAAACGTTGATGTATCACGAAAGGCTTTGTATTTTTTATTTTGAATGATTTCAGAATGTTTATGGCGGTTACAAAGATTGTGATATTATATTAAGTTCATGCCACGTGAAATATGCGAGAAACACGCATTCGCAATCGAGCCAACGACGATCGAACGTAGACTGATTTTCGGGTAGAGGTAATAAGGTAGGCCAGACGTTTCCCAGTCAATATGTAATATCTTCGTATAGGTGTTGATTTAAAAAGTTTTTTAGAAGCCAAACACAGTCTCAATAGTCAACGACATAAAACAATAAGAGATTTTATTTAATTTTTAAACATAACTTATACAGAATGTTTTATATACCAATCTTTAAATTATTTTTTCAGATGTATTGATTTTTATACATGTCCATATACAACAATGAATAGTGGTAAGAGTAGTTAAAGTAGATGGGTCTATTAACCGCGTGGTGCTACAATGTGTAATGAAATGTGATAGAAACTGTTCTTCAGAGACATTTTATTTATTGAAGCTTTCATAGGTTATTAATGTGTATCACCTTGCATTATAATATTAATATAATATCAGCAATAATTTGGCTTAAGTGATTTATCCATTTCCAGTATTGTTTAGACGGAATCGTTCGGGTCTATTGTGTCTCTTAGAAGGAACCAAAGTATTGAATTATTTAGGAACGTGTTCTTCAAGCAGTTGGTTTCGGAATTAATTTATTTCGCTAGGTAAAGGCGTAGCGAATGGATGACGTAAAATTATTAGATGATTATTTGAACTCTTAATAGTTGTAAAATTTATTTTCAACCTGTGCATCCTGTTAGATAGTGAATATTTATTTGGTTTCGGCTCGTCTTAGTTGCTTGTAATATTTATACGTTAACTTGTTTT